GTAAGTAAATGTGATCCCCCTTAACATTCTTTCCTTTCGAGATTGCATCTTGTGGGATTGACAACCGTTGCCTCAAAGAGATACGTTTTACGTACGAATCAAGCATCACTTAGTCCCAGTCATTTCATTCAAACGTATCTTCTTCTTGTTGTCCATGCCGTGTATCTTTGGTGGTCATGTCAGTGCACAACGTTCTATCTCATGTACTTTGAATACATTCTGACACATATGATCTGTAATGCCATGATGTCAAACAGTCCGCATAATTTCTCTCTCTGTCGCCCTGTTCCTCTTTCTCAGTTGAGACAGGAAAAAGAAATTCTTAAAAGCTATCAAAACCAGTTGTGACAAAGGAAAGTAAATCATGGATTGGACGATTTAAAAAAAAAAAAAATATAAAAAATTGGCAGCGGCGGAGATGTGACCATATAGACGAATGGTGGGAATACCCTGGACTGAGAACTAGAGTAATGAAGATGTCTTAAAAGGAAACTTGACTCATGAAGGAATTGCTCACATCAAAAACATATAAAACCATTAAGGCACGTTACTCTTACGAAGTAATCTGTTGCCCTATTTGGGTACGTTTTCTTATATGCGATGATGTATGTAATTTTTAAATAACAGGTTTTTAGAAGAATGGTGGCGATATTGTGGACGTATAGGAGAGCGAGCGCTGAGGTATTAAGACCTCAGAAACAATAAAAAGATAAATCATATTTATGGTGGACATTCTGTAATTCCCAAATGTCTGAAAAAATCGATGTAATTACATCGTCCCTATGGTGCAGTTATCCCTTGTGTCAAGAACTCACATGCATACACTCGTTAAGGCCCAGGTTCTTTAAGATATTTATCCTTTTGCAAATTTTCCACGTAGAGACAGGCTCAGTGCGAACTGTAACACCTTGCTTCCGTTTCCTGCCGTTATTCTGCTGCGATGTGTTTTCTGTATGGCTCTGTGATCCGGAATTTTCCAATGGATGGTTCTGGTTTCCGCTATTACGACATGTTTCTTGCTTGCTGGAATGTTTTCAACAGTAAGAATTCCGGCGCCCAGTTGTTGGAGGGGGGGGGGGGGGGCCACAATATACCCACTGTTTCCCCAGCAATCATGTCGTAAGAGGCGACTGACAAGGAGTTTCCTTTCAAGTCAGACTGCATTCACCTGAGAGGCATCAACCGCCTTCATACAAATAAGCCAGACCTGCACAACAGAAGTCACGTAAAGCTCAAGTTTTGGAGCGTGGCTTAAGTCCAGAAGTGGATGAACAATCAGAATTTTCCACCAGAGTTTAAGGTAAACTCGCAGACGAAGAAGAAGAAGAAGAAGAAGAAGAAGCATCTCGTTTTTTCATTTATTTTTATATGGTCTTTTCCTTACCGAGCTGTCAAATTTTTAATTGTGTCGCATGGACTTGATAATACAACCTTTCTCCAGAAGCACGGGGGTGAGGTATAAGAATTCCGTTGAACGCTAACACTGTTCGTTGGTCTCCTGGCGAAGTGGCTACGCCCTTTACCTCGTGGGTTCCTTTCAATGACACATCGTTCAGTTCATGAATACAGTTTTTACGAAGATCCCTGAAGATCGTCAGCGGAGTTCGTGTGTTGTGGGTCGCCCTGGGCAGGCGGCTAGCCGTTCTGCGGGGAGAGACCAAACCATATAGGGAGAAAATCCAGTGCAGTGAATTTGATCCTCTCACCTTTGACTACCACTATTATCTTTCCATGTTTGCTTTAGCTTATGAATTCCCACGCTTGGCTACACAGGCGTTCGTTGATGTGTATAGATACAGCACGAGTGCCTGCTTGTAGGTAAACTTCCAACATTAGTAGATGTCGTCATCTCATCATGAGAGGATTGGACGCACAGCGGCCTGAGATTATCAACTTGGGATGAGTTTACTAAGTGTCGAAATTTCCGACCTTGTGCTTTCGTGCACACATTAGACATGTCCCACATATGCCCACATTTTTTAAGTGGTTGGTCATTAGCGACCGGGGCGCACTCTGGCTCTCCCGTAGACGACTTCGTAGCCGATCAGGACAGAATGTGTCTCCTTTTAATCGCAACAACATTGCAGAGTCGTTTCCCGGGCTCTTGTTTGCGTGCAATGCTAAGCCTTTTTTTAAATAGCGAACGTAATCTAGTCTCAATTATAGCCTAAAGCCCTGCCTTCGGTTACGCTGATTAAACGTGACGAATTTTTTTATCAAGCGCAGCACCTACGAACTACCAGTGGTTTGTCTTCCTGTGGTATAGTACGGTATTGTTATATACTTCTATAAATGCAGGCTGCTGCAGTTGCGCAGAGGCAAGTACGCTTGTCTGTCGGTCCGCTGATTGGTTCGAATCTCCGTTGATGCTAACTTTAAAAATTGACTGTCAGTCCAGTCTGTCGCCTTTTTCTTTTTTGGCATTCGAGTCCTTGAGGTTGATTGCTGCAGATATTACCCGTTTCAGTTCATCTCTTCTTCTGCTTCTCCTTATCCTTCTTCTTCTTCTTCTTCCTCATCTTCTTCTTCTTCTTCTTCTTCTTCATCTTCTTCTTCTTCTTCTTCTTCTTCTTCTTCTTCTTCATACTTCTTCTTCTTCTTTCTTCTTCTTCTTCTTCTTCTTCTTCTTCTTCTTCTTCTTCTTCTTCTTCTTCTTCTTCTTCTTCTTCTTCTTCTTCTTCTTCTTCTTCTTCTTCTTCTTCTTCTTCTTCTTCTTCTTCTTTCGTGTTCACCGGCTGTAAACTCCAGCGGAAAGTACTTATTGTTCGTCCTCTTCTGGACTCTAATCCTGTTCCACAACCAGAGTGTTACGTGTTTATCCGTTTTAGACAGTGTAATTCTTGCCTCTCAGGCAGATGCACTTCCCCTTTAAAGAAAGCTCCCAGTCGTCTACTCTTACGACATGCTTTTGTATAGGCAGTGGGTCTGTTGTTGTCCCTCACAATGGGGCCCCCAGAACCCACTCGTCGGTCTAATTGGCTTTGTTTTTCCACTTAGTGACCATATCAGGTGTTTGTAGGTTAGAATTTATATTATCTCTCTGCAGGTTTTCTTGGTTTGCCTCGTGGGCTACGACTGTTTATCTCTTGTATATTGTGTTCTCTCTCTCTCTCTCTCTCTCTCTCTCTCTCTCTCTCTCTCTCTCTCTCTCTCTCTCTCTTTCTCTCTCTCTCTCTCCCTCATCTAGTCTGGTAATGAGGACTGCCATGAAGATGCTTACTGCGCACTACTGTCCTTGCATCCAGTAATAACCGATACCTATACCTGGGAGCGTAGAGCTAGAGATATAGTCTGGAGCAGTAATTAGCTGAGCCGTAGTGCTGCGGCTCCACGTTTGCTCAAAGGTAAAGTCGGGAGAAGTGAACCAGCGTCATTGCACACGGTTATAAACCATAAATGCTCTGCCACCAATACGGACAGCTGATAGGAATTGACCGCCTGTGTCACCGTTCGCACGTAACTCGTAGCTACAGCGACATTCCCCTATGTACCCCAGAGTATCACTCTGGTACCCATTTCTTAAGAGGCTGGGTGAACCCCGGGAGCCGCCCGGTTTCGAACACCGACCGTGGATGCAGCGAGTCGCAGCTGGATTTGAAAGCGAGCTTTTTATCGACGAAGCTGGACTTTTTTTTTCCAGACCTTAGCTTCGAGGTTAACCAAACCCTAAATTGATAAATATACGTTTTTAGGAAGTAACCGCGGCCTGTGTGATTTTAACTACACCACCCCCCGAGTGCCGGCCGATTGATCAATAAAATATAGGGATAGCCTTATGTGCCAAATGCGCATTAATGCGAGGGCCGCCTTTACTTCCTATGACTGTACTTGGTACCCATTTAAGGCTTGGTCGACGTGGGAGCCAAGGTCATCTTCGAAGAAAAAATCCATCAGGACCTGAACCGACTACCTTCGGATCCGTAGGCGACCAACTATCAGCTACACCACTCATGGGGTAGGGAGGTGCCAGTATATTCGAGGCTGTTGCTTGGCATTTATAGCAACCGTTTTAGCTGGCGGAGTGTGCCCATGTTGAATCTTAGCCTTCCTTTGAAGACCATTTGGCATTATGTGCAGCTGTTGTGTGCGGACCTGTTCGGAGATACCATCTGTGAATGAAGGAGCACAACGTTGGTGACACAGTAGTGGGTCTGTGTGATATCTCATAAAATTAACCGGCTAGTCAACAAATTCTTCACACACAAAAATCGGTCAAAAACAATATCCAACTGTTGTAAACTGGCGCATCGCAGTTACCCAAGGGGGGGGGGGGGTGTTAAGCAAGCAAATAGCAGCGGAAAAGTCGACTATGGCTGATTGACTGCTGAAGTAAACATTTCTAGCCTTAATGTTTTGCTACATGGTCACACTGCACTTATCGACTTACCCTCGTGACACCCTATCAGACACCCTTTTCAGTTTACAAATTTATTTTCTTCATCATAAATTATCTGTTTGTTATCCTTTTGCATTCCGCTTCCGTACTGCGTAGTCCTTATTTTTGCGGTTGTGTATTAACATTGCATACTGTTATGCAGGAATTATAATCTACGTCGTAACCAATCCATCTATCCATCCTATTGAGGTTTGAGGTTTTGAACAACGGATCAACATCGTCGTGGCACGCGGGTAGTAACCCATAAGTGCTCCGTTCTTCGTCTAACTCGAGTCTGAGTCCGAAGAAGCTCAGCACAGTGCACAAGCTCTGTTGTACTGGTTAAGATTTAAGTTAGTTGCGTATCCTTTACGGGACGTTGCAGAACCAACCCCAACAGCCCCTGGCTGTTGTGTGGTTTCTCTTGGCAAATTTACGTCCAGTAATTATGCCATTGCCTACTGGACGGTCGGCTTTCTTGATACCACTGTCGAAACCAACGCAAGGCGCATTGCCCGCAACTGGGATCGAACCCGGCATCCCGGCATTTCGAAGCGAAGCGTTCGCATCGACTTAGCCACAGAGCCGACGTTGTACTGGTTAGGACCTTGAAATACTTTTGGGG